GATTCCTCCAGTTTTCTCACTTCCACTGATAGGAAACACTGTTGTTTTTTAGTATCTTGGAAGCATAATCTTTGTGCCTGAGGTATGAAGCAGGCTTCTAAGAACAAGTTAACATTACAGTAAGTAGGCAAAAAAAAGAGCCAAGAATAAAATCACGCTGCAAAAGCAGATGTTCTCTTTGCACACCTTGTAACAGTTTAAGTCTGGAGGAAGACAACAATGATGGTCAAAAACACCCATAGCCTTTAAACACCTCAGGTCTTTCAAAAGCTGCAGTCATTTACTGCTTTAAATGAAGCTGCAGTGGGACACTGATGCTGCATTATCCCTCTGTAGAACAATTAACTGTAACTCCTGGAGCTGTGTGTGTGGCTTCTGTGCTCCCACAGGAACACCTCACTATTCTTTTTTTGCTCATGAAAAAAGTGCAAAGACAAACATTTCATTTGTTTGGGTTTAGCTGAGAAGTCCAGGCCCATTATTTCTTTAAAGCATAGCATCTACTTTCTTCTCTTCGCTGTGGCTTTCCATCAGTATTTAAAACTGTGCTTGCAATAACAGCAAGCAATGTCAGAGAGCCAGCAGCCTCCTGGATGTGGCAGAAACATTCATTACTGTAATCTCTCAGCTAGCTGATACTAGAACCTACACAACAGATTTGCATAGAAACAGGAAATAGGACCTCAAATTTCATTCTGCAAGGGCAGAGTAGGATTACATTTATAAGGTCACGCTAAAATATAGCTTCATCTCTTCTCCTATTCCCTCCCACACACTGGAGCATTTACACAATTTATTGGAATTGGGTCCTGTATGACCTGCAGCCCCAGCACTGCCCCAATTGCTCATCCGTGACACTCATGCTCAGAGAACAACTGATTGGATTAACTTGGCATCATCTGCAAAGTGCTCCAGTGCTATCAAGCACAAAAACACCCTGCAGCCCTCCAGGAGTCGAGTTGAGACAAATCACACCTGAGTCGGATTTAGTAGGACTTAATTTGACTGCTATCTGTGCAACTTCTGTGCACAGCCAGTTCCCATTATGAACTCCCTTCATTTTCTACTTCTATAATTTCACACCATTCTCCTAGCACACTGAACTATTATTAGTGAGATACTCAAAAACTTTTGGCTACTGTGTTCAGTGCAGATGTTAACAGCTCAGAGCACATCTAAAGGACAAAACTGAATTTACATGAAGCTCAGTATCCAACTGCCAGTCATTTTTGCTCCTCCATAGCATGCACACATCTCCCAGAGGCCCTCACCTCTAAATTCTTTTCTAGCATAGAAACATATTTTACTTAAAAAAAAAAAAACAGAAAAACAAAACAAAACAAAACCAACCCACCATTTGAAAACTATTTTTTTTTGTTTGAAGTTGACTTTTTTTTTTTTTTTTTTTTTTAAACAAAGCCCCTAGCATAGTTCACCACATAGACAAATTTTCTCTAAAGTTTTGCACAGACAAATCAGAACTGTGCTGTCGCCAAACAGCAAACACAAGCAGCAATAAATCCAGGACAGCAGCAGCCAAACGCTTTCCAATCTGACTTCCCCTTATTTATACTGCGACTCTTTATTTACCTGCTGCACGTGTTGTGGCTGCCCTCCTATTATGCCAGCGTTCCTTTTCTCTCTGTTTCTCTCCTGTTAATCGTGGACTCCTTCTCAGCTTTGAGCCGCTGCTGTTCCCCTCTCCCACCTCCTCTGAGCACCATCCTAGATCCAGCCCTCACCTCTGCATCACAGTAGCTTCCACCAATGCTAGGTTTCAGCCTCCTGATGTCAAGTTTCAGCCCAGCCCAGCCCAGGGAACCCACCCCCTGCTTCATCTAGAGCATTTTGGGTCTTTTTATTCACTCTGCACTCTATATCCAATTTCTTTTGCAGCTTTTATGTCTGATGTGACAAAAAATCAGCTTTTTGTATTGAGGGAAGCCTCTTCCTTGCACTAAATCTTTGTCTTCGTTAGAAACAGCTCCTCTGGTTGCTTTAACGGATTGGAAATCCCCCGGAGTCAATTTCCAAGGAGAAATTTTAATATTAAGCTGAAAGTAATAAGCATTTAATCTGTCTTTGAAAAGGAAAATTTGTCATGAAATGTGAACAAAATTCTAACTCTAAAGTTCTCGAAAAATATAATTTTTATAGGTAGGAAAAAAGGAAAAAAAGGAAAGGAAAAGAAGGGGGAAAAAAAAAAAAGAAAGAAAAAGAACAGCTCCTTCCTGCATAATTTGGAGTTGAACACTTAATCTAACAATTGATCCTGCAAGCTTTCTCACTAGTAACTTGACTCAAGCACCGACTATCTGGAGCCATTCACATGAGTACAGGCATAACAAAGCAGGTGAAATTTGCAGAATCCGGACTGCTGAATTAATAGTTAATTGAGGGCAGCACTGCCTGCTCCTGTTTGTCTAACACAGCACAGCACAGCTTTCTGCTCCTGCTAAAAGCCTCCAGGTAGATCTGCAGTAAGGCTGAAAAACAACTGACTGTTGGTGACATTTGAAGCACTGTCCCTGCCTCATCAACGCTGCATCACATCTCACACCTCCAATCATCTCTGAAGTTCTAAAGCTGGATAAATGCACAAGCCTTGAAGATAAGACAACAGGTAAGAAGATCCACTGCAGGACTTCTCCATCCCTATTATGATTTGCAGCCCCTATAATTCTGTCAGAGCTTATCTGTCAGTTTATCTGACATTCCCACTTCACAAATACATTCCCCACTCACACTGCAGCCAAATAAGGGCTCTCAGAAGGATTAATTACCTCTACCGTACTCCAACATTTCTACCAGTAGATTGAATTTTTCACACCAGATATGTTTATCGGAATCCCACAGAGAAAAGGAAATTGGAGGGATAAAAACATTTCTTTGCTGCCCCAAGCATGCATTTGATGAAGAGCAGTGAGCGGATGTAAGGAGCTCCCAGTGTCCCAGGCCCCACAATAAACTCATCTGAGAATTCTACAGCTTATGGGAATGTTTCTCAAAATACGTATCATGGAAGAATTGTTTTTTTTGTTGTTTTTTTTTTGGGGGGGGGGGGGTGGGCAGAACCATAAAGGTTTGCTACCTACATTTCCTTTCCCTCCTTATTGTGTCTACACTTTAAGAAATATGACTTTATCCTTCCATTTCCACCGTCACCAGGTAACAGAGGGGCAGCAGGAAATGGGTAGAAAGGATCACATAATCCTTAAGGTGACATTTCTGATTTTTCCAGAATTCTGTGTTCCCTCTCAGAGAACGTTTTTTTCATCAGGAAGAGGATCAAGAAGAAACAAGAAGTTCACACTCAATATCTCAAGAATATTCACAGAGAGCTGGCTCACAGAGAAGTAAAGAAATTTAAAAGACATCAGTGTTGAGAATAGTGTAGAAGTGCTTTATGGGCTACGAGGAGATGTGGTGCATGTGTGTGGACAATATGAGATTCTACTACTCCCAAGGGACACTGTTGTCCTGTTGTCACTATCATAGTGTTGCTGCTAGAAAACTGTGATGATGATGCCTTCTTTTGTTCTGGTTGTGAAGCAGTACTCTGACCACAGATAAAAAATAAAAAGGCAAAATTCAACAGAATTACACACTCAGTTCATGTTAATAGAGTGTGCTCTTGCAAGGAGAACAAGGTGAAGCTGCCATTTTACAATTAATGTCACAAATGACATTCCTATAAACGTGGTCAACTTTGCTCTGCTTAACATCTATGAAGTAAGGAGTATTTTATGCATCATAAGATCACAACAACGATGATGATGCCCTGCTCACTCAACCAGTACGTGCAGGTATCAGCAGGGTAGGTAATCTGCCAAATGCGCTGCATGCCAGCTCACATCAGGATGATGCTCACAAGGTACTGCCTGGATGCACAACCCAGATTCTACTGCAATATCTACAGTATTTATTTTGCCTGCACTGTGTGACTTTCTTTGCACTTACAGCTTCCGTAAAACCAGAAAATAAGTAAGGTAAAAAAGGGAAAACATGCAATAAATGAGGTGAAGGAAAAAAAAAAAAAAGAAAAGAAAGAGATGGAGCTCAGGAACATCATGGACAAGTCTGTATCTCAGCTCTGCAGCCATGCATTTGTCCCTTCTGCCACAGTGGCAGGAAAGCACAGCTTGAGATTGCTAACCATTCAGACGCCACCGAGCAGGAAGACTGCAACGTACAAACACCTTCAGTGGTGTAAGTCTAAGAGGACTTTCAAAAAGGACTGGACAATGCAAACGGTGCTCAGGGACATGATCTAGCAGAGGGTTGTTAGGGTAGTATGGTTAAGTTACCGTTGGACTTGATGATCTCTGAGGTCTTTTCCAACCTCAGCCATTCTGTGATTCAGCGATTCTGTACCCACGGTTATGTTAGAGATAATAGCTCTAGAGGCAATAATGATATGTTTTAGCAGACATAAGGCCCCCTCCAGCTTCAGAACAGAAGCAGTCATTGAGCAGCTCATGATTACAGACTAATTTCCCTGCATGATCTTCTTGATTCAAAACTACCAAGCGCCACAGATTTATGTCTTTTTCCTCAGAAGCCACAAACTCTATAATTCCATGAAATGAGGGCCTGGGAAATGTGAAGCTCTCTGTATTGTCCCAAACATGCATGACCAAACACGACAGAGCAGGTAGAACTTGGGAACTTGGGTTCTGTTAACACTCCTACAGCACAATGCCCTGAAGAACACACTGAGAAATAATATATTCTGAATGTGGTATTCTCCATGCAGTTCCCTCCAGAGATCAGAAGGAAGCCCTGATACCAAACCAACTGCAGCTTAGCATTACTGCGAGGGCACAAGAACTGGCGGAGAACCAGCGTGACTTTTCTTCAGAGCAGCTACCACTTTGAGATGGAGAGAGATTCCTTCTTCTGGAAATGCAGTATCCTAAAGCGTCCAGTAGCCCAAGCCTTTGCAACCTCTTCTACACAATAAAGGTGGTTCAGACAGTTATTCAAGAAGTATTTCATACCTGCAGTGTGTTTCTTCCAAGGTTCTCTCTGGGGTAGGTCCTGATTCAGAAGGCAGTTCAGGTGATGAAGAAGCACTTTATCCCTAAGCACAAACAGAAAATTGGAGCACACATTGGAATTATTCTATTTACCAGAGAACACAAGAAGAAAAATTCAGTCAGAGCTGGAACACTGCTGTACCATATGTCTTCCAGGAGCCACGCATAACAGGGTCCCCTTGACAATCCCTGCCTTGCTGTGCCCTGTTGTACTTCCACCTGGAAAGACATATGGCAATGCCACCAAGAGAAATCCTTCCTTTTCCTTTTTTCTCATCTTAATGCAATTTCCCCACTTGAAAGGATTGTTCAGTTGCAAAAAGATACAGGACAAGTATTAAAAATAAATGCATAAATAAAAAGTGCCTAACTGTTCCCACTAACGAAGAAAACAAGTCCATGGACCTGTCAGCATTACAACCAAATAAAAACATGACAGAATGGCTGGGATTCTACTTTTTTGCCTTATGCAACACTGACAAATTTGTCTGATCTGCAGCAATTTGGTGTCTCACAGTTACATCAGAGACACTAGAAAGAGTTCACATTTTACTTTTCAGTTCTCAGTGGAAAGGAGGTGTTATAAAATCTATCATTCTGCTCCTAAAATGAAAAATACTGACCACAAGCCAACTTCAGCTCCACAACAGACCTTTTTTTCCCTGTGACTATAGTGATTTCTTTTAACATTTCTCACATTTGTCATTACTGCATAAGCTGCTTACGACTGCTCCTGGTGAGGTCAGAAATGTTGGGAGTTCCTGGAAGAGTGAATGACTACCCAGAACTCTCATAACCATCCTACTGCCACTTACATACAGAAGATCTTAACAGTGTTGTTTTTGTGGATGTGATGCTTTTTGCCTCCTCAAGTAGCTTGAATCATTTCTGTTTGAAAATTATGCCTTTAGCAAAGCAGGAAGCTGGATGTAACATCTGGCTCAATTAGAGCATTCACTCTTCATCCTGCTCTCTTCCTGAGTAATAAAGATGGAGAGATACTTCAGAGACTTCAAGCCTTTTAAGCAAAGTGTTCACCAAAATTGCTTTCCTGGTAAGCCTCTTCAAACTGTGTTTACTTCCACGCTGGCTCTGCTCAGGGCAAACCTTCTGCGTCATCCCTTGGCCTATGCCATTCTTTTCAATCAATTACAAAACATAACTCTGCTCCCAGAGAAACAGATGCGACCTTCTCAGTGCAGAAAAGTTACCAACGCACTGTTTGCTCTCAGTTACTTCACTGTAGAAAATCTGCCTGCATTCTTCCTGAAGCAGATAAACATTTCATTCATTGCACCCACCCTTCCCTTTTCATTGATATACAGAGTAGAACGAACACAAACAAATTTTCTTGATTATTTGATAAAACGTATGTCTACATGCGTATCACTATATTTAATAATACAGCTTAATACTATCCAGAGAGGTGGATGCCCCATTCCTGGTGATCCCAAGGTCAGTCTGGATGGGCTCTGAGCACTGCTGGAGCTGTGGGTGCCCCTGTGCACTGCAGGGAATGGGAGTTGATGGCCTTTAAGGGTCCCTTCCAACTCAAACCGTTCTATGATACAGTATCATCACTATAAATATGATATTAAATTGTAAGAAGTATTAACTGTAATTGCATAATTGTAAGAAGTGATAGCAAAAGGGTATAATCATTAATTCTTTCACAAGCACGGACATGGTGGCAGAGATGATGTAATCTTACAAAGCCTTTCACTCATTTCCCAAACCATGTTGGGTGCCTCATTTAAGAGACCAACCCTCAGTTCCAAACAAGTTGACCCAGTTCACTGGGCATGTGTAGACAAGACAGTGTGTTTTACCAGCACAATCCCAACTCATTTCAAATTTACAAATATCAGTCTTTTCAAGATTTTCATCTTTATTGCTGGTGTTTTCAAGAACAGCCACTTGGGCCCAAACAATTTCAAACCAAGCACAGCAGAAAGCTCACCAATTTGAGGTGAAAAGAATAAATACAACGCAGAGACAGCAGTCTTGAAAATCTTTCGAGCTGCTTTTCCGCGTTAGTATCAGAGCCAGATATTCTTGCAAACCACCTAGTGAAGGAGAAGAGATGATACCATGTGGCATATTCTACTGTCATTCAGTCACAACCAATCACAGGCAAATAGCAGGGCGAAATCCCTTCCTGAAGTGCCTGTCTCTGCACTGCTAAGCAAGGTTTCAGTGTAGATGTCTGCTAGATGTCTGATGTTTAGTGTGAGATGGATTCCAGCCTTTCTGAAGAGCAGGCAAAATCTGAAGGATTACCTCACTACAGCCAATGTGTAATTTTATAAAATAGCAAATGAAACTCTTCAGCTTTCTGATGAAGAGTTTTAAAAGAAAAGCTGCCTTCTGTTAAGAGCCTATGAGGAAAACAAAAGTCATTGCAGCTTATATATACCATTATGCCCTTTGATTGCCTGGATTTCAGTGTGAAATTAAGTTTTGTGGGATAGTCGAGTCTTCAGAAACATAGACTGCAGAGATCAGAAGGCACAAAGTACAAAAAGCGATGGCAACAAATTAATCAAGCCTTTACTTTTAACAGCAGCGATAGCCTAGAAAACCCCAAGAGTTGGTAATGGATTTGAACCTTTCCAGGGAAAATCCTATATATATGCAGGTGAAGGCAGACGTGAGCTCCTCAGACACGCCTGGAACTCTTAAGATCCATGCCAACAAAGGAGTGGAAGCTATGCAGTGATAATGAATTGCCACCACTGAGCTAACATCCTCCCTGAGAAAAGAGACACACCATTAACCCAGAACCAGAACAAATAGGCTGCCTAACTTCTGTGCTGCCTCGTGCATGGCCAGAGCAAGTCCTGCAAACACACCAGTCTCTGAACAGCCTTTGATAACCCCATCCTCCGTACCACCAAACGTTGTCAAAATTGATTTGTGTACATCGTGAGACCACTTGGCTCTGTTACACTCATGGAAACCCCAACTGTTCTGTGCACTACAAAACAGGCCACATCTATCTGGATGGAACAGAAAGCAGAACCTGGACCAAAGAGCCAGAAGGCAACAAAAAACTGTCGATTCACTCATGTGAACGGCACACAGCCCTCGTGCTGTGCTATGTCTAGAGACTTGACTTTTTATTCTTCATGTGCAATTTAAAAGACCCAGTTGATTAATTTTAGTGATGTTATAACCCCGAAAGAATTAGTACGACATTGACCACAGCTGAGGATGACACTGTGGAGGAAAGAAAGAGGAGAGTCATTGCTCCAAAGGTATGAAAGAAGGTTGTGCTCCCAGTTTAGATAGGCAGACAGACAGACAGACAGACAGACAAAATCAGGAAGAGGAGCCAATGAGCACCTGTGAAAATAATCTTGCAGGAAGCACGAAGGGTGAAAGATGCATTGCTTAAGAGCTGCATTTTCTAAACGGAGTGGAGGTCTCGTAGAGCACAAGAAGCTCACAGCAAGCACCAGGGGTTTCTGGTTTTCTTTTCTTTTTTTTTTTTTCTTTTTTTTCTTTTTTACCAGGGAGTCTGTTAATCTGGAAACTATCCAACATTTACAAAAGACTTGTTTTCCTGCACAGACTGGCATAAATTCAAATGTGGAAAAAAAAAAAAAAAAAAAAAAAGTAAATTACATTGAATTACATTGATAGGATTGTGGGTGTGCATGAACCATGCAAAATAGTTCTAAAATCACATGTATGTGTGTGTAGGAAATAACCAAATAATTTTCCAGGACAAAATCTCTGAGAAATCAAATTTTATTTGCAATTGCAATGGCAGGCCTCCTGCAAGCAGCAGCACTCATAGAAAACAGTGTTCCATCTTTTATCCCCCATTGCCCAATGCTTATCTCTTTCTCCCCTGGCTCCTCACTGGCTGAGTACTGCAGGTTCACACTCTTCTGCGACGCTTCACTAGTCATACAAATACCAAGTAAACACAATTCCTTGCCGCCCAAACACAAATATCTTCATTGGTTAATTGCCTTCTAACCATTGCTTTCTTAACAAACATCTGGTCATAACTCTTGGAGATGCCTACTTCACAACGTAAACATAAACCTAACTTCTTAATTGTTTAATTACCCCTCCCTAGCATTTGTGGCCTTTACCCTGGGTCATTGTTCTGGTCATGTCTGTCCTTGCATAGAGATAAGCTTGGAAGGAGGATAGAGTGGAGTATCTTGGGGCCTGCCTATAGCGTCCTAACATTCCCACAGAGCAGAACAGTTCTGCTTTGTGTAAAGGCCCTGGCTCCTTGAAAGCTTGTTAAATGTATTTCACTTTCTCTGGCCTAAGGAACAATCTTACAATACATTTTCTAGGTCAGAACACCTACATTGTTTTAAACATTTAAAAATCTATCACAACTTTGTGAGAAAGAATTTGTCACATAGCTCAGTAATTATGTTTCTAAAATATGTTACTAACATGTATATGTGTATTTCTTCCTTTCACATCAGCTACTCCTAAGGACAAGTTACAGAATACAAACATATTATGTTCTACTTCTTTAGATCAATAGTCCACCTCAATATCCAATGCAGAAACAACATTTCATTCCCATACGTGTATGCAAGCAGAAGAAAAGCCTGTTTCGTAACCAGCAGTCAGGTCTTCAGATAGCAGAGAAGTGCACGAAGAGCACAATTTGCCTGCCTAAGGCATTCCACACCAGCATTCCCCAGTTCTGCAGGTGGGTTAAGGGAGCTCACACAAAGTTAGGGCCACGAAGGTGATGAAGGGCCTGGAACATCTCCCCTGTGAGGAAAGCCTGGGTGAGCTGGCTTTGTTCAGCCTTGAGGAAGTTCTCCCTTGCTACGGCACCACTTTGAGGAATACGGGACAACTCATCACTGAACCACAGAACGGTTTGGGTGGGAAGGGACCCCTAAAGGCCATCAGGTCGCACTCCCTGCAGTGCACAGGGACACCCGCAGCTCCAGCAGTACTCAGAGCCCATCCAGTCTGACCTCGGCTGTCTGCAGGGATGGGGCAACACCAACCTCTCCGTGCAACCTTTGCCAGGGCCTCACCGCCCTCTGGGTAAAGAATTTCTTCCCGATACCTGTCCTAAATTTCCCCTTTTTTAGTTTAAAGCCACTCCCGTGGTCCAATCGCTACTGGCTGTGCGAGCGCAGGGCTCCACCTAACGTCCCGCCGGAGCTGTGAGAGGACGAGCGAACAGGTCGGCTGCCTCTCGCAGTCGTGGGGCTATCGGTTAAGCCGGACGCATTCAGCCCCGCCCCGCGCCCCTCGGGGCCGCCGTCTGGTCAGGCATGGCGAGAAGGGACCGTGCTCGTGCCCGCCGCCGTGCTGCGTTCCCTTCTCCCGCCCTTCCCCCCACTCACCGCAGCGCTGAGGCGGCGCCGTCCTTCCCGCGCTCGAGTTGAGGGTGGATGATGGGCCGCCATCTTGGAAGCGGCATGGCGCTGTCCGAGCCTCCGCTCTCCTGCTGCACCTGGGCTGGTCGAGCGGCTGGAGGCGGTACTGAGTGCAAACCGCGGGCTCGGGCAGCTGTGAGAGGATTTTGTTTTATCCTCTGAGCTGTGTTGTTGTAACCGAGGTGCGTGGTTGCTGGGAGGGGGGGTGCTGCTGTGTTCAGCACTTCCTGTGGGGAAATCTTTCCACTGGAATAAGGTGCGTTTCTGTTATTTTTCCCCTGGCTCTTAGAAGCTACCCATCATACGCACAGGAGCAAAATGCATTGCTTAGAGGGCTGGGAGAAGGCTGCATGTGTGTGTGAATCGTAGAATCTTTGAGTTGGATGGGACCTCTGAGGGCCATCTGGTCCAACTGCCCTGCAGTGCACAAGGACACCACAGCTCCATCACGTTGCCCAGAGCCTGATCCAGCCTTGCCTTGAAGGTCTCCAGGAATGGGGCATCAACCACGTCACTGGGCAACCTGTGCCAGTGCCTCACCACCCTCACTGTAAAAATATTTGCCCTTATATCCAACCTAATCTCTTCAAGCTGGAAGCCATTTCCCCTTGTTCTATCACTGCAGACCCTGCTGAATTCTGTCCCCTTCTTTTCCTGCAGCTCCCCTTTAGAAGGCTGCAATCAGGTCACCTTGCAGCCTTCTCTTCTCCAGGCTGCACAGCCCCAGCTCTCAGCCTGTGCTCATATGAGAGGTGTTCCATCCCCTGGATTATTTTTATGGCCTTCCTCTGGACATGCTCCAACAGCTCCACATCTCTCCTGCACTGAGCACTCCCCATCTGGATGCAGTGCTCCAGATGAGGTCTCACAGCACATAGTAGAGGTAGGATCACCTCCCTCACCCTGCTGGCCATCCTTCTTTTGGTGCAGCTCAGGATGCTGTTGGTTTTCTGAGCTGTGAAAGCACATTGTTGGCTCCTGTCCAGCATGCCATCCAGCAGTATTCTCAGGTCTTTTTTGGCATGGTTACGTCCAGGTTTCATCCCCTAGTTTGTGTTGATAGTGAGGATTGCCTCAACCCAGGTGCAGACATTGCACTTGGATTTGTTAAACCTTATGAAGTTCACCTGGACCTACTGGTCAGCCTTTCAATGTCCCTTTGGATGGCACCCCATCCCGCTGCTGTGTCAGCCACACCCCACACAGCTTGGTGTCATTAGCAAACTTGCTGAGGGTGCACTCGAACCCACTGTTGAAATCACTGATTAAGAAGCAAAAGAGTGCTGGGGGGGGTCTCACTCATCACCATTCTCCATCCAGACATTGAGCCTTTGACAGTCGTGCTCTGGACTCAATCCTGCAGCCATTTCTTTGTCCACTGAACAGGCTACCCATCAAATCCATCTTTCCAGTTTCAAGAGAAGGATGTTGTGGGATACCGGGTCAAAGGCCTTACTGAAATCCAGATGGATGACATCAGTGGCTCTTCCCTTGTCTATTGGTGCAGCGACACCAACACAGAAGGTCACTAGGTTGGTTAAGCATGGACTTCATGAAGCTGTGCTGGTTCTCCTATATTGGCTCCCTGCCTTCCACGAGTTCCAGAGCTTCCAGGAGGATCTGCTCTGTGATCTTTGCAGCACAGAGGTGAGACTGCAGGTCAGTAGTTCCTAGAATCATATTCTTCTAAAAATGGGTGTGATGTTACCTGTTTTCCATTCAGCAGGGACTTCACCTGATTGCCATTACTGTCCAAATATAGAGAGTGGCTTGGCAACTAGATCAATTACCTCAGGACTCAGAATGCATCTCATCAAGACCCATAGACTTTTGGCTGTTCAGGTTCCTCAGGTGATCACAAGCCTGATCTTTGCTTACAGTTTCCTCCTCAACCCTCTCCTACCAAACTGAGTGTTTGAGGGGGCTGATGTGTTGAATATGCACCATACTCAGTGCCACAGTGCACAGATGCTGATGAGGGATGGTCTGACCTGGATCTGGTCAGCTTTTCTCATGGAAGTTTCCCATTTCTAGAAGGGAAGATATACTTCCTCACTGAAACATCAGTAATTCAGATGCTTAGTGCCCTCGTATGTGCAAGTATCCTGCCACTGTGACTGGAAATAAAATTTCCTGCTTTCCCAAGAGCAGCTGCCCAAATAAGCAAGTTACAAACTGCTGTTGATAAATCTGGCTGTTTCTTGCTGTAGTCACACACCCTGATTCGTTTGGCTTTGGAGGAGACAGAGAGAATGAAAGAGTGGTTAAGGTGTCTGTCTAGTAGTAGAACACTGCTCTGAAAGAAATGTTTCTAAACACGCTAAAAGAAGCAGTGCCACCACTGATACTGGAATAAGCAACCCCAGAACAATACAGGTCTCAAAATGGAGATGTGTGGCATCTTTTGTTACATCTCAGTTGTAAAAGACAGAATGAATGAGCCTGTGAGTTATATGGAATGCAAAACAGTGCAACAGTGTCCTACAAGACACTGCAGACTGATCCTTGTGAGTACCAAACCACAATTTCTCTGTGCAGGTGTGAAATCGTATCACTGATTTTTGCTGTGACCTCGTTATGTGTTCACACTGTATTTGTGCTGGCTGTATTTCTCCCCTCAGTGTAAGAGCTGATGCGTTAGAGATGTTGAAACCAGGTTGATGGTTGGGCTGGAAGATCTTTTTCCAATCTTAATGATTCTGTGATTTTCTGCTTTAAAAGAAAATAGTATTCCTGTCTGATCTTTACAATAGATTTTGGAAATGCCACTAAGGTGCAACAGGGAACACTGTGAGAAAGTGGCAGCGAAGCGTTGAGGGGCATTGCTATATGATGGGGCTCAGTCAGGTCAGTGGCTGGACTTGGTGATCTTGGAGTTTTTCAGCCTCGCTGATTCTATGATTCTGTGTATGTGTTTGTTATTTTTTCTCCTTAGCGAGCCTGTCCTATTATTTTATTAGTAGCCATTGTGGTGACATGTTTCACCTGCTCTGAATGTCTTTTTTTATTCCAGTGAATCAGAATTTACCAGCCGTTTCCTGTGATAAGCAGATACACATACATCTTTCTATTTCTTGATGATTAATTAATGCTTTTGGAACCTCTCTCTTTTATTCTTTTGTGCATTTGGCACCATGTTCTGCTGAAACAGTGTAGTTACCTCTGTTAGTTTCAGTGCATATTTTGTTTTTCTTTGCTTTTAGAAAATGTATTTCTGAGCTGAAGCTACATCACGTGTCATTACCGTAAGAATGTGAACTGCTGTTCACAAAGAAGTGCCCTGCAGAAGAGGAAGACCGGAGATGTTAACGAGCACCAGGGATGAGCTGCAGTGTGGGTTACGCAAATTGCTGCAGCCAGCTGGGAAGGGCTGCTGTCCGCCTGCGGTGGCAAAAGCGATATTCTGCTTGAAACAAAACAATGATGTTTCTCTCATCCGTACGTAATGCTTCCTTCTCCTTCATTTTTGCTCCCCATTGTTGACAGAAGCTCCTCATGCCGTAGTCATAGAAAGATAATTTCAATTTGGTTGCTCTCTAGTGAACAGATACGAAGCTCTGTCCCAGCTCTGTAATGAAAAACGTCTTAAATTAAAATGATTATTGATTTTTAATCCAGCTTTGTGTTTTCAGTTGTCTTTTCAACAAAAGTTGGTGTGATGCCAATGTCTCTTCCCATTGCAGAATGGTGTAAATGGTAAATTCTGATTTGGCATTTGGATAAATAACGTGGTAAATAAAATGTTTGGAAACAGGTTGTGCTTATCTACTAAAACACATTCCTGGAGTTTCTCTGGAAAGGCCTAGCAAGAAATGAATATTAACGCTGGAACTGAGTACTTCGTCTTTTGTAATATAATTTATTTTATTAACAAGTTAATTAGTAGAAACTTAAGAATGGATTACCTAGCTGTATTAGCAAGAGCAACTTGCTGTGATGGGGCAGAGTGAATGCAAAGACAGCCAGCAGTGTTATGCTCTTAAATATACCCATGTAACTAAGGTGTGCTGGGCTGTCAGCATTAGCTTCATCTGAACTATTGATGTTATTACCAACCATTTAGGGAGAGTATTGCTAATTATTTTCCTCTTTTATTTTTTTTTTTTGAAAATAACTGTTGCAGCAGGAATTGAGAAGGCAGAAGTGCATTGTCCTGAAGTTCATTCTAGAAGCAAACACAGTTATATTTATCTAGGACATAGTGAGTAAAGCAGTGAAGAATGGTGGCATAATCCCAATAAAACTGAGTGACATACCGTGATGGCAGTAGAAAATTAATCTTGTAAAATATTTTTCAGTGTCTTCAGTAAGAACCTCACTCAGTAAAGACATCTGGGTCAGATTCTGTTACTATCCTACTGATTCAGACTATCCTGGCTCCTTGTTAGCTTTTGATTTACTGAGGATGGCCTATGAGTGCCTTCTAACTTCAAAGCAATAATTGCAGGTGAATTAATCAGGTAAAGAGAGTGATCACCTGGAACAAGTTTGTTGTGTTGTAATGCTGTTTAATGATTTCACCAATGACCTAAAAAAAAAAAAAAAAAGAATGAACTCCTAGTAAAGCTAGGTACTCCTAGTAAACTAGGTAGGAACTCCTAGTAAAGTAGATTTTTTTCAAGTGAATTTCATATTGACTTTAATAACAATTAATTTCTGCAATCCTAATAGTTGGTAAATTAAATGGTTGTCCAAATCAGTTTGCAGCCAAATACGCTGAAAGTAAGAATCCAGCTTGGACCTTAATTCTTCCATGTGTGGAAGCTGCTGGGAAGGAAAGGTCTGGGGCTTGCCAGAGCAAGGTGAGTGATTTTGCAGTGCTTGGCAATGAAGCTTCCTCCATGCTGAAAGCTTCAGAGTCGTAACAGCCTTGCTTTATTCCTGATTAACATCCCTGATCCTAGTGCCAGGGATGCAGCAAACATATATGTGCAGAGGGTATGGGCTGCAGATGGAGCCTTAGTCTCCAGCTCCGCGTGTTCAGATCCATCGTTCAGACCCAGACTGTGCTGGAAACATCTGTTGGTGCAGTGGTGGAAATGCATGTTTCTTTCT